TTTTGAGTTTAGTAAGCAATTTAATAGACCAAAAAGATTCCCTAATTGTTCCGATTGTTGAAATTGGGGAGGAACTTTGTACTAAGGAGTGTTTTAGTATTTTTTCTGTTTGATTTCCACGTAAAATCAGGTACCTCAAATAATCATCGGACTGAGTGGAGTAATATATCATGTTAAAGTTCTCTAAACCACATTAAAAAAATCTCAACATTTTTTTTCTAGTGTCGAGAAAAAACCTTTTTGAAATTTTGGTTTTTCGTCTTAATTCGAGCGATTAAAGCAAGCGAGCAGGCTTACAACAGCTGAAATGCCTAATTTATACCTATTTTAAGACCTTAAACCTAAATTTATGCAAGTACAACTAGTTGCAGAGTTATTTAGCTTCATTTTAGGAACCAAAAATTTCAAAAAATTCGTAAATTTTCCGCAAAAAATTTTGAAAATAAAATTTTTGCTTAAATTTTTTTTTATTTTCTAGTTTTTTTCCTCAAAATTTTCCAAATTTTCCTTATTACTATGATTGTCTGAAATGCCTAAACTATATTTTTACGTCAGATCACACCAAGCAGAAAAAAACCTAAATTTGGAAAAAAAACTTTCTAAACGGTAGTTTTCTAAAGACTATGTTCGGAACATTCTGTGCTACTTGCGCAGTAACCGGCTATCCTTACTTGAATTTAAAATTTTTCGAGGGTATCGCTTTGTAGCAATTAAAAGATTATTGTAATAGTTTTATTTTGATCCGAAAATGGCCTGAATAAAAAAAACGCAGCAACTAAAGATATTTTTAAACTTTTTTAAAAGTCGAAACAAAAAGAAACAAGACTGTTTGTATCATGTAAATTACCTTGAATGTTATGACTCTCTTTTACAGCCATCTTCTCAAGATATACCATAAATGGTGAATTATCATATCAAAATGAAAAATCATAATAATTTTTTTTTCATGTTGATTTTTTAAAAACTGTTCCCCTCATATGCTATGTTAAGCACACACTGAATTAATTAGAGTCTAGCAACTTTTTAACAGATCCAAACAGTTTGCTTAAACTGGAACGTCTTCGGAGCCCGCTTTAATCGCCTCAAATATATGGCGCGTTATTTGTCTCTAATTAGCCGAGTTGTCAACTTTCAAGCCACATTACTAAAAATAACTTTACAGAAAAAACTCACAGGTGAAATGATATACAAGATCAGTGCGTCAGTAACCTTGTGCTGTTATAAGAAAAACAGATTGATTTAAAAGTCGGGATGTATCTGGAGAAAAACTCAACCCCTGTACAAAACTTCCGTTCCTGGAGTTTCTTCGAAAGTCGGAACAATGAAGCGCGAAATTGTTCTGCCAAAGTGATGAAAAAATATCCGCTGTTGGTGTCCTTTTGTTCTGATTTTCAAGAAAATGACGGAACATTTGTGATTGGATTGGCTTTTTTCTCCAGACAAGTTTCGAATTTTTAACTAGCAAATTTTGGCGGAACTTTTTATCATTCGAAAGGTATTATTGATTTCTTGAGCTCAATTTTAAAAAGATATTTCAACTATGATTTTTTTCTTAAGTTATGGGGGTTTAATGTTGGCAATGTCACCAATTGGATATGGGACAATTAACGCGCGAGCGGAGAATTCTGTGCTATTAAAACGTCAGCGGAGAATCAATCCGTATTTGAAATCGTTCCAAGTTGGATTGAGGCATGCTCTTAGGTCTGATTAATACTTTACTGTATGCAAAATATATCACTTTGCAATTTACATAGCGTGTGGGAGAAAATTTCCCCACAAAAACATCAATTTTTCTATTTTTTGAAAATTGTTCTGTTTTTAAGCAAAAATTACTGCAATGGCCATAAAATGAAATTTTTCAGTTACTTTTTTGAAAATTTAATCACTTTTTTTCCTTTTAATTTACTCCATAAAACTTAAAACGCAGTCGGAACATTCAGGACTTCGCCTAGATACGAACAGTTTTGTTTTTCTTTTGATTTCAAGGATATTGCTGATTCTCAAACTGTTATGTCGGTGTCAATTTCAAAATTAATCTGTGGTTTTCAACCAATGAGCATTATCACATGCTAAGAAAAGAAAAACGATTTTCTAGCTAGTAGGAAACTTTTGAAAAACTTAATGCGTCTCGCTCATATAAACTATGCGCTGGGCAGCATAGATGATTGGATAAGAATAGCAATTTTCTAACGTATTCATAACCGAATATCAACTGCTCCAGACTGCTCATTTCAGAGTTAAAATTCAAAATGATCTGATAGCATCTTTAGGGCAACCGAATATTTTGATATAATTTTTTTTTGTTTTTTAACTCTTTCCACACGCTACATAAACTGGAAAGGTGATGTGTTTAGAATCTAGCAAAAAACTAATTAGGCACATCAGCTTGTTTTTCTTTGAACTATTGTTTTTTTATTACTTTGTAAATTTAAGACTATCCTTTCGCCGGAATAAATTACAGATTACGCCTTCATAGTCCAATCATATAGCTTTTTAATTGTCCTAAATTAGCCAAACTGTCGATTTCCAAACCAATTGTGATCTAATGAAACTGATCACTTGTGGAATACCTATTTAAATCTAAACTTAGAACGTCAATATTTACAGATGGCTAGTTAAAAATACAAAATTTGAAGCACATTAAGCACAAATATTTTTATCTGTTCGTCAAAATTTAGCACCATAACTCAAGTTTTTAAAAATATATTGTATCAAAAACATAGTTAAAATATTTGCAGCCCGCACCTTAATTTAAAAAAATCATTTAAACTTAGTAGATCTTATCGGATTGAGCTGATAGATTTATTTCTACCTTTTTTTAATGCATAAAGTTTTATTTTTATTTGTTTGAGGAATGTGAAATACCTTCTCGATGATATATTGGTGGCAGTTGTACCGAAAAAATCAAAATTAAGCCTAAAAAACTTGAACAAAATTTTTTGACTCAATCTTATTAGACATATTTACTATACAGAAGTTCTTGTCCGTATTTTCGAAGAAATTTTAAAGTAATAAGACTACCCGCAGTAACAAAAAGGAATAAAAAATGTTTATTTGCAGACAAATCTACAGATTAACGTAAATATAGAATCGATTTACCTATCATTTTTACTCAGATAATTGTCGATGATAGTTTTTTTTGTAAATGAACTTTTATCTTTTCCGTTAAAAATATTGAGATCCGAGGTTGCAATGTAAACAAGAATTCTAACTGCTAAAATAATTGGCAATTTTTCAAATTTTTAGGGAACAATATGTGTAATTGTTAAGTTTATCTATGATGCTCACCTCGTTAGCACAAAGTATTTGACTGCAACTAATTGAACAGCAAAGTTGGTTCCACATTCAAAACAATTGTTAAACTTTTTCATCCTGCTTGTAGAAGCGCATAATCAAAGAAAGAGTTCATCTATTTTTTTAAAAAAGTTTTCATATCACAGACAAACTGTAGCCATATTAGGCGACATTTGGATCTTTTAGGTTTGAGTTTATCTCGTCCGTTTTTATCTTACTTTGTGTGTAATCTTTTTATGTTTTTGGTGCATTTTTGAGATCTCTTCAACTATTTCCCTCTTTTTTGCAAAAGGGGAGATTGGTTTGCAAAGGGGGAGTTTTCAGAAGTGATAGAAGCTTGGAGAAGTTCCAAATTTGGAGTATCAAAATTCGTTATTTTCAGCAATTATTCAGTACACGATTTTTCTCGATCAAATCACGTCTGAAAATGTAGTTTATCGCTTGAATCACGACCTATAACTTTAACCTGAAATATCTTTCGAAAAGATATTATGTTTATCTTGCGGTACTTGACTTGCAAAAATGTTTAAAAAATACTAAATTTTAAAAAGCAAAAAACATGCCCACATTTTTCCGGAACAAAAATCGTTTCCCTCGAGTTTTATGTCGAAAAAGATCCGATAAAAAATCAGATACTTTGAAATTTCTAAAGCACATATATTTCACGGAACAACCATCAGTAAATTATTGTATTAACAGTTTTAACTGCCTTGAATTGAACTTTAACTGCATTAAATTGAAACAATTTTTGTATCTAATCACTTCTTCGCTTAACCAGTTTGTTCCTTTGATTCATAGCATTTCAAGTTTCAACTTTTGCTTCAGAATTGAAAACAAATGAAAAACCGTTTAGAAGAAAACGTCTTTTTTTTTTATTTTACAGCACAAAATTTTAGGGTTGGCAACTTCATTTCCTGACTGCGACTGAAAATACTACCGCATTCCAACTTTAACTCAAGATACTACCGTATTCTAACTTTATCTTATTCTAATCCAGTCTTATCCATTTTTCCACGCCTATTGATCGATCCACGCCTTTTTTCAACTTTTATGATCTAAATAAACATTTGATGGAAAAATAACTGAATTTTTGTAAGATATGCTAGACAAACTAATCATTGTTAAAATTTCACATTCAATAAAAAACTATTTTTTTAAAGCTTTTTGGTCATTTTTCCCGTAAACTTTAATTTTGATCATCAAAACCTGAGTTCAACTTGTTTCCAAACATTTCATTCAAAAATTTTATAACCATTTGCTTATCAAGCTGTGATTTTTGGCTGGATGTTAATGTTAATGAATCAACTTATCAATTTTCAACCGTGTTACAAAAAACTCGTTAATTTAAGTTCACATTTTTTTCAAACAAAGGTTCAAATTTAATTTAACTTCCTGTCAAGAAAAATAATTTGACCTTTTCTCATCAAATAAAGTTACTATTATTCATTTTAATAATTTTTGCTTCATTTTTTTTTCAAATTACTCTGTTACGCTTGAGGCATTCAACAAAACGCATCAAAAAGGAAACGTCACTTATTGCAAACAAAAATTTAATTAAAAGGCGTTCTTTCTTCTGGTGTCCTTTTAACACTATTTTGCTCAGAAGTCTTAAATACGGAAAAACAATATTTCCTTATCATTTTAAATTCAAAAAATGGTCTTTCCTTATCACTGAGTTTCTCCGCCGTTAGCTAAAATGCCGCAGCTAAATTGCATTTCAATTTTTAATCAATATGGTTTTTAATAATTAAATTCAATAAAATCGTCCAATCAAAATAGAGAAAAAATTGTGGTATTTTTCACTTATATTATGCAGATTGTCATCTTATTTTACCACCATTTTAAACAACATTTTGAATTATTCACCCCTTGGCTTGAAACTTTTCTCGTCTCATTATTTTTATTGTTATCGAAACCAAATAATTTGATTTTTTTATGGCTTACCGGATATAATAGAACGTCATCAATTGACACACGCCTATTATATAGTGCTCGAATTCCTGAAGATGTTATGATGCTTAAAGTAGCTATTTTCAACAAATTGCCAAATAATAACAAGAAAGCAGTTTGAATTTCTAGATATGTAAACTACTTTCTTGTTCTTGGTATATGGCAATTCTTTTAGTCGGAAAAAATTTTGAAACTGTTCATTTTAACGTGAAAAAAAAAGACAATTTGAAAAGTCTCGGGCTAAAAAATTGAAGGGCTGAAAATTGAATACATTGAGCAGAAAGTGAAAATTTGAAACTTTGAAACTTATTGTATGGAAAGTCCAGACCAATAAACTCAAAAAAAATAAAATGAAAAAAGTTGATTTTAGACCAGGCGCGGATCTAGGTTTTCTCGAGGGGGAGGGGGGTGGATTTTCAAAAAAAAAATTGAAAGTTTTGTCGACCTTTTTTTGGCGTTTTTAGGCACTTTTTGGAAAGCTTAGACCAAAAAATCGCGTTTTTTCGGCGCGCGCTCCCCCCTCAAAATTAGTATAGATTGGCGCCAAAGGCGCTTTTGAAAAATTTTAGCGTCTGACCCCCCATTCCCCTCTCCCACTCCCCTAAATCCGCTACTGTTTTAGATTTTTTTTTTATGGTTCGAATTACAATTACAGCCCGTATTAAAACTATAAAAAAAAAATTATTAGTCACTCCAGATGAATCACTTGGACTTTTTTTATCCATAATGCAGTCTTTCCTATCCTTGTTTTTTTCTTGTCAACGCTTTGATAAGAGCAGCTAACATTGATTGCAGGAACATTGATTGCAGATATCAAATTACACCAAATAAATCGCAGTTTGTGGCGCAGTTGACTCTTTGCTAATCGGATAATCTTTTTTATTAGTCTTGACCTGACCTGTTGAAGATAATTCATTTCAATCAATTCGACCCAGTTAGCCAATCCGACCTCATTTCCAGGCAGTTTAGTTTTCGTATCCAGCCAATTTTGTATTTACAGTTTTTGGCTATTATTAACAACAATAAACAACAAACGAAATTAGAGTAGATCTCGCAGTTCTCAAGAGTCTTTTCTTGGTTTAATACTGAAGATGGTTACTTAATTTATGCTAACCGTATCTATTTAAAACCAGTCAATTTAAATCAGTCTATTTTGCCGTAACATTATATTGGTTTCGCTGGATCATTTGGGTCGCTTCCTGAGGTTAAAAGCCCCCCTAAGCGAAACCTCCCAGACGGTCCTATTTAAACGCTATCTTCCTCCTTTGTCAAATTCTGTTCAAACTCGTTCAAATTCTGTTCAATTTCTGTTCAAGCAATTCACACTTCGGAAGGGAAAAGCTACGTAGATAAAAGATTACAGGGTCGATTAAGAAAAAAGTGAAGTTCTCTTTTGAAGTTGGCTCTCAGTCCTATCGCAAATTTTTAACCCCTTTATTCAACTAAAATTTCCCAATTTCGGATCTAAAAAAAGGTCTCAAAGTATCCAAAATATGGTCCCAAAATGAACCCATATGTGATATATGGCCGTTAAATTTTATTCAATGTATCAATAATGACCCAAAACATATAAACTTCAAAAATCTTCTGTTATTTATGGTATAATTGCTCAACTCAGCTTCCTTTTTATACGATTTTTCATTAGACAAATTTCCACGATGATCATTTCACTCCGTTAAATTCGTTTCATCAGTCTGTGGAAAAACCAATTCACGAGGTCAAAAAACTGCTGTTTAAAATTGGTTTGGAAATCGCGGAAAAAAGCATATCAATCTGATTTGTTGTTATTAAGTTATCGCCTACAAGTAAAAGCTGACCGACTTTTTATTCTTACTTTGAGAACAAAGCAACTCGATTGCCAGAATGAGATTAGGAGGAAGCAATGTCAATTTTGGCACTAGCGGGAACAGATTTCAACAAGGTATTTCAAAAAGATGTTGCTAAAATTTTTTGGAAAAAGTACATACTGAAAGTATCGTTTCAAGGATAGAAGGTTATATTTTGATGCCTTTTCCCGCAAAATTGCTTGCGGTCTCAAAATTTTTGGCATTAAGGTTCTTTTTGATCGGGCCAATGCACGAATTATGCTTAGGCATGGGAGCTAATGCGTAGGGTGTTTGTTATTCAGCCGATTTTAATTGCTTCAAAAAAGCTCGTAGCTCGTAAGTGTGATATGATTTCAAAGTCCTATCAGTCGTGACTCATTCTATCAGTTATGTGTCGAAAAAAGTTCCAGAAGTTTGTTACAATTTCGAGACAATTTTTTTTTCGAATATTTTCAAGCTTTCAGACTGAATCAGATAACTTGATTAGAAGCTGACCTTGAAAATAAAATCTGCTGAACTATGACTAATTTTTGCAATGTAACTTTCAGCCTCTATTAGAAATAATAAAAGTTTACACCAATAATGACAGGAAAGTTACAACAACAATGAAAAAAGAATGAATTTTCCTTCAGTTTTCTTTTCTTTTAATTTTTGAATTTCTTTTGGAGAATCAGCGTGACCAAAATATTCAGTGGTGTTTACACAATAAGCAGCAACCGGGGCTATTTTTGTTATTGATTTTAGAATTGACTTCTAAATAGTGGGAGAACTTTCAAAATTTTTTGAAGCGTCATCTTTTGCCAAAGATCATGCAAACACCCGTGTTAATAGGCACCTGGGTTATAAAAATAGCTTCTTCTACAATTCCAAATAACTCAATAGACTTAAAAAAGTACACTCAATAACTCAAGAGACTGCTTGTAATTAACTATCATGTTTTTTATTGCAATGGAATTGATTGATAAGCTTTTTGTTCAAAACAGAATTTTTTTCTAGCTTAAGTTTTTTTTGCGTTTCCTATACCTCAATAAAAAAAGAAGATGCTCATTTAAAAAACCCATAGATTAAGTAGCAATAGTCTTAAAGATAAAAGAAAACTAATTATAGAGAGCATTTTTTAGAAAAAAAGTTAAGTTGAGCGTAAAAACTAATTTTGCGATTAAAAAGACGACAAAATACTTTTCCTTCATACTCGGGAAACATTCCAAAACTTTGAATATAAGAAAACAAGTTTGCGCGTAATAAGGCAAATCAATGAATTTAGGTCAGTCTTCTCATAAACTTTGCAATATTTTTAAGTCAGCAAAAAGATTCGAATTAGTGTAAATTTTACGTAAAATCATACTGGAGCAAGGCCGAGAAAAAAAAGCCAAACTGCTCGTATCTGGGCAAAACATTTAATGTTGTTACTGCCTTTTAAGGTATGAAAACAAATTTTTGCGCAGAAATTGAGTTTGAAGAACTTTTGGAAATGCGCGTTCTCCTATTTTTCAGATATCATGATGCCACACAAAATAACAGATACAAAATGATTAAAATTGCCTCGTTGAAAGCTTTTCTTAGACGCACTAGCTTGATTTAATTCAGTTTGAACTATTTGGAATCAGGTGAAATAGCTGAAAAGCTTCTTTTGAAAAAAATTTTCCTACAAAATCTATGGTTCTCTTTTTTTTATTGAAAAGTAGCTTTTCGTGTAAAGATTTATAATTGACATAAGTGAACAATCGCAGCTTGCACGGTTTCAAATATACGTCAAGCCATTTTTTCCATTAAACTTATTTTTAACAAGCTAATTGTTTCCAAAGCTCTAGAATAAACAAATCGCTGACAAAAACTACAAAAAAAATACTTCTAAGACAGTTAATATGCGTTAGTGTCACAGTTTTTTTGAAAGTATACAACGAGAAAGCAAAACGGCTCAAAAGAATGGCAAAATGAAAAAATTTAATTATATTTAACCAGTTGTTGCGTTTTTATTTGAATAATATCACCGTTTGTACTTGAAATTGTTCGGAGAGAAATTTTCAAAAAAAAGTGTTTTTTTTTTTACCGTTGATTTTTGTTCGAAAATCTCTTTCAATAGTTTTTTTTGAAAATCAATGCGTGTTGCAATTCTGATATTTTTTAAAAATAAACAGTACAGCTCGTATCAGGGCACAGCCCTGAATGTTGCGACTGTCTTTTAAGGTCTATGAAGCAGTGTTCGCTTTAGAAAAAAAAACGAGGACTTTTTCGGAAAAAATTTTGATTTTTTTAAAATCATTCCCCACACGCCATATAAAGTATAAAAGGATGAATTTTGCTCCTAGTAACGTGAAAAATATGACAAAAAGCCTGTTTCAACCGATTTGGAACTATTTCTATGAAGGATTAAATATCCGCTTACTCATTAATAGCGCGAAGTATATCGCGCGTTAATTGTCTCGAATTCGCCTTATTGGCAATCTTAAACCCTCATAACTTTATAGAAAAAAATCATAGGTAAAATACCATTCAAATATGAGCTCAATATTACAATTCCATTGGCTAAGAAAAATTTCGTCAAAAACTTTTAGTTTAAAAGTCGAAATTTGTCTGAAGAAAAAAACCTCCCTAGCACGAATATTCCGTTATTTTTGTTATGAAAGTCGGAACAATAAAGACTTCGAAGTAATGAACGCATAACAGCATAAAACATGAATAGTTCCGACGCAAAATGCAGTCCGAGATTTCAGCACTGATACGAGCTGTGTTGTTAAGTTAATATTTCCGCAAAGTTAACTTGTGCATTGTTACTGAATAGAATATATAGGGAAGCAAAAAAATTTTGAATCCAAAACCAATGAAATAAAAGTAAGTGAAAAAAAATATGCATTTGATCAGACAATATCTGTTTTGTATCTGCATCAGATTTTATGGGAGAATAAAAAAAAACTGTTTCCGGTCAAGATTTCATGAAACGAGTTTTAACAGCGCTTTCAGACTTGTTTTTTAAAGTGTTCGTTTCAAGTTTTCAATTTCAAGTCAAAATAGCATTAATAAATCATTCAGATTATACATTTTTGGAAGTCTGTCAAGCATTTATTTTGACATGATTGAAATATCAAAATCTCTTTAAAAATGAGAAGAATGTTTATTTCTGTTTATGCATGAAGAAAATTTATTTACTTCTATAGAAGTTACAAAAAAGTTCGTGTTATCAACATTTTGATTTTGGTATAAATATTTGATTTTATAAATAAGATATTTTATAGCTGAAATGCAATTTTTGAGTTTAAAAGAATTAGACATTGTAGTACGCAAGTAAAACTTCAAATCAAGTTTCGAGGATCTAATGGTTTTCATTCTCAGACAATGGTCTCAACGGTAACAAAATGAAACACATTTTAACAAAAACTGCATAAATGTGCAAAAAAATTTTCGAGCTAGAAAAAACATCCGGCCGCGTTTTCAATATTTACAAATGTTGGAGAGAATTGATTAAATTAACTTCGTCTTATTCTGAATTGAATCTTATATTGAAACAATATTAGTCGCGTCGTCTTTTTTGAGTTTCTTTGCTTTTAACTCAATCGAAAATCGTTTTTCAATCTTGATTTCAATGAAGTCTAGTTCTAGGAGATTAAAAAAGCAGCACTAAGAGCAAAATTAAAACTGTTTTCTGTTCTTTTCAGAAGCACTCACTGCACTATAAAACCCACACTCCTGCTTCACGCAAATTTAATCACTATAAGAGTCAGCATTACAAATTTGAGTTTCAACTAAATTGTTAAAGCAGTAGAAATCACAAACATTCCGCAAAAATTTACTTTTTTTAATTTGGTTATTTTATATTTCATTTAATATCATAACGCTCTCTCCAAAATTATTGATTTTTTTTTGGGTTTTTTTAAATTTGGTATGCGTGGCTTAAAATTCGATGACTTGAACATCATACTCTCACAGATAGATCATCAGAACTGCATTTATCTTTAAAAACTTGACACGAGCATTATTGACATTGATTTATAACTATTCCAAATTATTATCCATCTATTACATTGGTATAGCATGTATGTAATTTAAGCATTATTATGTTTTTCTCATAAGAACTGGATCATTAAATTTTTTATAGCCTTTCGTGATTCAAAAATAGCTGATCAAACTGCCAGTTATAATTATTCATGAATGCTTTCATGTCCTGATTCATGTCGTCGGTCCCTGTCATGCAAAAACCACATCGGGCAAGAGGTAAATGCTAAATTATCTATTGAAAATAGAGCATAGCTTTGAAAAAAAATCAAAGAGTTGTTCTTCGTAAGACCGGGTTTCTTCTTGGCTCAAAACAGCATGAAAAAAATTAGAAAAAATTCCAGGCGCTGGTGAATTTTTTGGCACAGTATTGAGACGCCTTGAAGTTCCTCGGATATTAAAGAGAGGACTTAATATATGGAACTAGTTAATCTTTTGAAAACCGCTTTGTAAATTTTTAGAGCTAGTAATTTAAGAGACCCGGGTTTACTTTTCAAAGCTAATTATTGCTGTTTCAGGCCCTGATCAGTGGCCACTTATCCATGACCAGGGCTTAAGCATAAATAAACTTCGGAATTGGCGCTGATTTTTCTCTCAACCAGCGCTGAAATTGGCAGCTCTAAATTTGCGCTAAATCATCGTTAAAATAGCGAAGAAATTCAGACTCACGGATGGCTTAATTTTCAATCAGCTAGAGCTTCAGAAAATTCATTTTAACCGCTGCAATTCAAATGAATTAATCATCCCTGTTTCAGGCCCTGGTCAGTAGTCTTTTATCCATGATCAGTAAATTTGCAGCACTGATTCATGATAAAGTTATGAATCAGGAAATACTTTTCCTGCGACTTTAAACCGACGATGCAGTCCCTGTTTTCCCGTATGATGTCATTTGAGCTCCAGTGGTAATTTTTGTTTCGACTTTCGAAAAAAATAAAGAAAGGAAAGCTTGAGTTGTCTTATCTAATCATACCAATTTCGGGGATCAAAATGAAAATTTTCAACAAACCTTTTTGATACTTTTTTGAAGATGTCAACATTTTGAAATCAATTGCGAAAACAAATCTTATCAGCGACCATTTTTGGTTAAGTTATGGAACTACGAAAA